CTCTGGTTTGCTTTACCAATAAATTTGAAGCCCAACTTGAATCTCTCTGAATGAATGTGTTTCATAAAAAAACCACATTTTAATTCTTCCCTAGTTTTGATCTTCCAACTTCATTTCCTCTGACAATGTTTTCTGTAAATAGCCCTTTCTAATTTACCGTCTGGCTTACTACAATATCCTTAAATTGCACTGTAGAATAAGGTAGGAAGCAAATATACTATTTAATATTTACCTGGGACTCAGTCATCTCCTCTTCTCTCTGGAAGGGACAGGGTATGAGGAGATAGAACTGAGGAAGAGAATAAAAATCATTAGAATAAGCTTATCATGTAGTTTCAAAAACTTGTACCCACAAGGTAGACAAAAGGTCACTCTGTAGCAGAATGATACTTGGATGCATCAAAAAGGCCAAGAACATTCACACCACAGAGGTACTGATAGGTACAGGTATAAAGATGACTGGTATGATCACATGGAGCCTACGTGTAGGGTGGATAGGAATAGGAGTGCATAAATGAGAGATGCCCCATGAATTTATCAGTAGCTCTCTATAAGAAAATACATATAGTTTCATGAAAGCATACACCCAAGGAAATTATGAAACTGACAAAACACTGAAAATATTTTAATGTATTGAGACAGTTAAAAAAGAAATAATTAAGTAGTAATTAAATAATTTAATTTAAAAGTTGATATAATTATATTTTGAGGGGGGAGGGAAAATTTTTGTGGGTGAGTAATGTGTTATCAGAGGTATTGATGTTAAGAGAATTAAATCCTTACTTCCTATAGTAAAAAAAAAAAAAATCTACAACTGAAAAATGTTAAATAATAGCAGGATAAGTATATGACTTAGAAAAGTAGAATAAAGTAGGTTGTCCTTGTCAGTGTCTTTTGCTGATTCTTCCTAATTTCCCAGACATTGTAATGTTAGAGTGGCTCAGAGATCAGTCCTTTGTCTCTACCTTTTTCTATCTACCCTACCCTCTAAGTGATCTCATTCGGTCTCATGCATTAAATACCATTTACATGCTGATAATTCCCAAATATATGTCTCCATCCTAGATCTTAGACCTCTCTTTTGAACTTCAGACTTATATATCCAACTGCTGACTTGGTACGTC